TTTTTTTTTTTATAGATTCATTAACTAAAGAACATATAATTACAATCGGCTAACTAGCCGGAATAGGAGGACTACAACACAAAAAACAAAAATAAAAAACTCCCCACAGGATAATAACACAAACTCGGAACAGTAGAATAAAGTATATTGACTCTAGGTATTTTGCTTCATAGCCTGAACCTGTTATTATTTGCATTATTTCCTTTTCTCTGTGACAGTGTGCCAATGGATGAGGAGGAGAAGGTTGTGCTCGACTACTCGTCTGATCCATTAATTATTGATAGTCATTTTCGTAGCTCAATCTTGTCTAGCATAGCCCAAGCAGGAAGTGCCATAGAGGAGCTATATGGATCAGCTCAAGATATTGAAGGTGTGGTGAAGGATGGGAAAATTTATGTTGTCCAAACGAGACCTCAGATTTGACTAGATTCATTGGTGCTTCTTGACAAAGGGAATGGTGTCCAGAAAAGCCATACGTATAGAAGATTGGCGTGTCTATTCATATTCATAATACCAATACTTGTACAACTTCTGTACATTGTATATACACATAATGATTGGATGCTCATAAAAAAATAATACTAATTCAAGCATCTATATCTATATAAATAATGTACCAACCAATAATGCTAAATTTGGCATGAGTTTAGGTGGAAAAGGTGTTGTCCATATTTAGTATATAATTAGTCTATACTAGCATTCGATCTAGCATTCGATCTTGCTCACATGTACATATCCAAATTTATATATATATATATATATATATTTTTTTTATAATCATAAGTTAGATAACATATATAATACTAGTACGTTACCCGTGTATTATACAGGTGTTGGGTTAAAAAATATATTATAAAAATTATTGCGAAATAAAATTTTATTTAAATTTTTGATGTACTAATTAATGAAAATAAAAGAGGAATAGAGAATGCAAATAGTGATTTGTAAATCGTAATTTGAGAGAGAAATATGGGAGAAAATTATAAGATGGTAAGATTGCTACTTGTTTAATTTAAGAAAGAAATTGTACTAAGACAAAAAAAAAAAAAAACAAAATTAAATGTGCATTTACGAAGTTTGAAAATAGTTATTTATGTCTATATCAAGTCTAATTATTAAGCAAATATTAATATACAAACATTCCGAAGCATAGATTTTTATTATGTCAGCATTTGAAAATGTGAATGACACTTAGGCTCAATGTCTTCAATTAATATATAGGGAGAATTTTTATAAACTAGTAGTGCATGTGAAATGCATGTGGTTGTTTAATATTTTTGGCCGAGTAAGTATAGCAAAAAAAATAATTAATTTATTAAACATATTATTGCAAGAAGAAAATAAAATGTTGAACAAATGAAGTGTTTTTTTTTTTTTTTTTTTTTTTTTTNTTTTTTTTCTTCCAAAACATAATGATACCCTAATGTAAAATGAATGAAATAACATATTGCAACCCAACAAAATTTATGAAAAATGAGCCCTCAATGGAACAAAAACTAAATAACTAAATATAGACTTGATGTATATTATAGATTCGTTAATTCTTTTATTTATTTATGTTAAATATTTTGTAACACCCCGCCTTATCGTAAAATCAGAGTGCAAAAATTTCGCAAAGTTATTTAAAATAAAATATTTTACTTTGCGAAAATTGATTCGGGATGCTACCGTAAAACATGACTTATTTTGGAAAAACCGTTATCTTAATTTTAATAAAATCATACGATTACTGAAAACATAATTTTTCCAAAAGTCCAGTCAAAACATAAGTTTGTCAAAACCATAATCAGCGGAAACGTAAATCGTCATAATATATACACAGTCAAAACATAAAAGTCCTGAAGCCTTCGTCATCTCACGCTCCCGGCCCGACGTCCTGACCTGAAAAACATGATAACAATGGGAAGTGAGCACTATGGTACTGTGCTCCGTGGAAACTCATACTAATGTAGACATTGAAAATAATAACAACATCATGATCTTGGCATATACATAACCTCAACATGAAATCGGTAATAACATGAACATGAATCTGATATCGTCACGCAAACGTGACCCTGACCGTTACCTCATCTGCCGGCAAGGACTAATGCCGGACACCATGTGCACACTCTAGTGGGCAGACTAGGGCCACTAGAACCCAGAATGGACCGGCGACCATTTCGAGCAGATACATGACATGAAATACATACCTCAAACATGGTACCGTAATTATAATCAATGTAGTACTTAGTCTGAGTCCCCACCTGATCCGTGAAAATAAAGGCAGTGCTGATACTCGTGACCTGATCAAACTGAAATATAATATAAACAATTACTAATGACTATGCTCAGACTGTTAACTTAACTGATTAATTTCGTTAAGATGCTCTATTGAACCTGACATGATATTTAGACTTAACCAGAATAACCGGAACTGAACTGACATGAACTGATCGGACATGAATTTACTGAACTGAAATTATCCCGGAAATTTAACTGAAATGGAACTTAAAATGCGAACCGGGATTAAAATAATGTTATTTGGGTCAAACCGGTATTAACCGGTCCGAACCGGTTTGGCCGGACCGCCGGTCTGCTCGGACCGGTCGGCCGGCGGCTGACTCAGTCCACGGCCTGCCAAGGCTGCGGCCGCGGCTGCTGGCGGAACTGGTGCGGGCACGGCCGTTGCAGCCTGCCTGCCATGACCATGGCCGAGAGTGCTGCGTGCACCTGACCACGGCTGGGCATGCACTTGGCATGGTGTGGCTGCTGCACGGCTTATGGTGCGGCGCTGGCCACGGACGTGCGTGCCGACATGCAACTGAACGCTGCGGGCGTGCGCTGTGCCCTCCCGCAACACTGGCTACTCGAGCAGGCTACTGCCGAAGCCATTATCATGCGACGCTGCGCGATGGCGTGCGTTACCGCATGCTGGCGCGCTTGGCTGGGCGTTGGCGTGCACAGGCGCACTGCCAACGGCTACTCGCAGCGGGTACGTAGTACCTGCCGCGCATTACCTGTACTACCCGCACACTGCTCGCTGTGCTGGGTGACTGCTGGGCGTGGCTGCCGCTATGTGCGGACAGCGCGGCCTACGGCCGACCCTTGCCGGTCGTCCGGCACTAACTCCCGTGCATTCTGACCTCACTTAACATAATTTAATATAACATAAATCTGATCGCTGAATTAACTTAAAAATATTACTTTCGCACGATGAACTGAATAGGCCGTGGCGATCGCGCCGTGCGCCGCCGACGGCGATAGGCCGTCACCCGACCGACTCAACTTATTTCTCAGCAACTCAAGACCAATTAAACATGAAACATCATTTTAAAGCTGTTGAGACATAAATCACATGGACGAACTTGACCATAACTGAAAGTAACATAACATGACATGGAATCGCCCGTGGCCGTGCGCGAGGTGCGCTGCCGACGGCTGTGAGCCAATTCATGAATAAAACAGTATTTTGTCTCGACCATCATCAAGTAACTGAGTACAAAATGTGGTAAACTGATCAATTAAACATAAATGGTTCGTGAGTTGCCTGGTAAAACGAGAAGTTACTTGATCACGACTTAACTAGGCATTAACCGAACCTTAACATGGCATAGCCATGAACTCTTGAATATGATTCGAACACTACAACTTAGAATGAACTTGTTAACATGAAAATATGTTGAGGATAGCTATACCTCCTTGAGTACTCGTCGGAATCGCAACCTGACTATGACCTCGCGTGCGTGTGCCTTGTGCGGTAGCTTGCCGTGCGATGCTTTGCGGTATCGTGCGCATGCGATAACTAAGCTTGCGGAGCGGCTAAGGTAGCGTTCTTCCTTACTGGAGTTAGTAAATGTTTTTGGGAGGAAATTATGGGGCTAAACGTGAGGAAAAATCCTCCCAAATGCTTCCTTATATACTTAGCCGTGAGGAGGAATTGGTGACATGGGGCCTTGGTGGCAAACCATTGTCATGCCACTTGGAACAAACTTAGATGATTTGAGAATGATTCATCCCTCACAAACCTTCCTAAGATGACACGTGGGGGTTCTTGAAAGGGAAGAAAACTATTTCTTAAGCTTTAGGAAAGCTTACGGTTTTTTTGGCACCAAAATTAGGGAAAATCACTTAATTGCTCACGGCTTTTCTTGGTTAATTGTGATTAATTTCTAATTAATCACAATTAAATGCTTAATTAAATAATTAAGCATAATACTTAATTACCAAAATTATTCCGAACGTACACGGAGCGTCGAAAATAATTTCGGGTAACCTCGACTGAAAATAATTAATTTCGAAAATAATAATCGGTAACATTATTATATCGGAACTAAAAACATAAGTTATACTGATAAAATAACGGGATATTACGATCCTCCCTCCTTACAAAATTTCCGTCCTCGGAAATTCAAAACATAGCTGATAATACATGAACTATGTACATGGAACATAAATATGTACATCAAAACTGAAAATCTGGGAAACGAGCGCGAATATCGGATTCTGCCTCCCAAGTAGCTTCGTGGCGATCCCACTGAATACGCACGAGGGGAACATCTCGCTTCCGGAGCCGACGAACCTGACGGTCTAGTACAGCTACCGGTCGCTCCTCGTACGAAAGGTCTGGCTGAACCTGAATATCCGAATGAGGAATGACATGATCGGGGTCGCACACGTATTTACGCAACAATAGATGCGTGGAAAACATTATGAATGCCTGATAACTCGGGAGGTAGGGCTAATCGATACGCGACCTCGCCTACTCGCTCGAGAACCTCGAACGGACCGATGAATCGAGGGTGCAGCTTCCCTCTCTTTCCAAATCGAACGACTCCGCGAATCGGACAAACTCTGAGAAAAGCTGACTCGCCAACCTCGAACTGAATATCTGACATGCGTCATATTTACGTGCATTTTATAGTGATTTACGTGTCCGTTTC